TTTGCGGGTGTGTCACCATCGGAGGTGGACAGAGGCTGACGGGTGTGCCGTGGTTTTGCGGGTGTATCACCATCGGAGGTGGACGGAGGCTGACGGGTGTGCTGTGGCTTTGCAGGTGTGCTGCTGTCAAGGGTGTGAGCAGTGCCCAGAAATCTCTGGGAAATGGGGTTCCCTCTTGTGAGCATCACCCTGACCGTGGCGCCTCCTGATGGAACGGGTGTAAGAACACAGGTGCAGGGACACACAGACGTGCACACGTCCTCTTGCAGACACATGCCGATAACATCTCCATGCGTGGCCTCACGCAGCTGCAGCTGCACGGAGACGTGCAGACAGACATGCACGCCAAGCGCTGAGGACTGTGGCACCCAGGGATGTTGGCATACTGGCGGCACAGGGATTTAGGATCCGTTTGGAAAGGCACACCCAGCCATGCCGCGGTAGGTGGTCAAGGGGCCTGGCAGCTGCTGCTCTGCCCAGCACGTCCTCTCGGATGCACACATTCTGTGTGACAACAGTATTTTCACACTTACATCTGTTTCCATTTCCTAAAGTGGAATATGAGTTAATCAAGTGCTTAGAATTACATACAGCAAATCCACAAATTTTTCTTTCTTATACTTCTTTGCAAAAGTTGTATGTGTTTAAACGAACCCTTCCAATTTGAAAGCCTTGGCTGAGTTAGATGTTTCTGCTTGAAAATGGACACATTTGATTTTAAGTGGCCTCTAATCCATTATCCAGACACAATCTCTTGACCAATCACGTGGGTTACAAATCCGTAAGTGTCCCTGTCGTTCCCTGCTGGTGTGTAAATTGTGATCTGAACCACTGGGGCGTCGCTGTTCTCGTCGCAGGCGGCTGCCCCGCCGTCCTCGCCATGTCTCAGCAGAGCTCATGAGCTACCTGAGGTTTGCGCTGGGCTCGAGGTGGCTCTGGTACCGCAGACCCAGCCCCAAGTGTTCCTGCTGTGGCTCCTGAGCCTTGGGTGCATGTATCACGTTTGAGTCTTGATATCTCCTTCGTTCTATGGTTTTCGATTCACTAGAATTTTCCTATTTGATGACTGTATCAGTTGACTGGGAGGAAGATTTAGTAGATGGATTATGGAGGACTTCTGAATTTTAAAGAACTATTGTTAAATTTGGTTTCTTTTTCTTTCTTAAATCTTTCTTGTTTAGGTTTGTTCGGACAGTATTACCATTTTCTCAGGAATTTCAAAGAGATAAGCAGCCGAATGCACAACCCCAGTATCTGCATGGATCCAAGGTAGGCTCTGGTGTGTTCCTGTTACGAGCTGCAAGTTCACAATGAAGCATGTTTTGAAGTGTAGTTTGATGGGTTTGGTTGCCGTGACCTAAGTGTATCGCACCGTGTATAAAATGTTTTTTTCTTCCGTTCTATTAGCATCTTCCTGAAAAGTAGCAGTAATTTAAAACAAAAACCAGCCAACCAACCCAAAAAAGCGCTTCCCTAGAACTAGCATGTATGTAGTGCTGGGACTGCTCTGGCCTTGCGATAGGTGTCAGGCTGGGCCTGGCCTCATTCCCGGCACAAACACGAGTGAGATTGTTGGAAGATTCCAGGTTTAAAGCATCAAGCTGAGAAGACAAGTGGAAGAGGCTCAGGTGC